TAGTTGTTGGACAGCTGAAATCTACCTGTTCAGGTGACAGGTAAACTATTTCCAGTACCGGACATCGTATAAATTGATCGGTCTATTCAAAGTTAAGTTCTTACATTTCAGCGGTTTCTAATTGATTTAGTCTTGATATTATAAGAAATGCGTTTATAAACATGATTTGATGAAAAATTTAAAAAGGTTTTAAATGAAAAATCGTAAGAACTACGTTGTATGAACTAGAACATGTGTGCGCAGTAGGGAAATTTAATTATGCATCCTACATTTCTTAAAAAATGATAAAAATTATCATTGATACTTGTATCTAATGTTCATTTCACGTATTTTGTTGAAGAAATAACGTGGAAAGAGCTTCTTCACTCAGTCGTGCTTTGTAAACGTATACGGATTTAACGTATCCGTTTCTAGTCCATGTTTTACCATTGTCAGGTCAACATCCGGTATTAGGAAAATGTGATTTTAAAAACGAAAGTAAAGTTTTTGACAACGTAATTTTGCACAAATAAAGAGTCTAAGGCAGTTATGAGCACGCTGATGTGCACACTTCGAATTATGCACTGCCAATTTAACAGTTTACGTCCAAACATCAAATTCACATCAAAGTAAAGTTTAATATCGTTTTTTTTTTTTAATCTAATGTCAATCATTGGGATGGCCATCTGATTACCATGATTGCCTTTTGTTACTTAGTCTTAAGGGATTAAAATCCGGATAAGATATAAAATGTCGGGCTGGCTCAAATATTTTTTGGAAGCCCTGGTTAGCAGGCGGGGTCATTGGACAAAATTTGGCCAAGTTTGGTTAAATTTGGCCCAGTAGTTTCAGAGGAGTAGATTTTTGTAAAAGTTAACGACGAACGCTAGTTGATGAGAAATGCTCACTTGGCCTTCTAGGCCAGGTGAGCTTAAAAAAACTATGTCAATTGGACATGCTTTGATACTATATATGCCCTTGAATTTTTACTAGATAACATTTTTGTTCGCTTTGGAGATTCCGTATATCGTCAGGTTATCGGAATTCCAATGGGGACTAACTGTGCACCACTTATTGCGGACCTTTTTTTGTATTGCTATGAGTTACAATTTATGACAAAAATCAGTAAAGACCCATCGAAACAACATCTGATACACAAATTTAATAATACTTTTAGATATTTGGATGATATTTTGGCTCTCAATAATGACGACTTCAGTATGTATACTAAAGAAATTTATCCTGTTGAACTTACTTTAAATAAAGCTAATACTAACAATGACCACTGCCCTTTCCTCGATCTTGATATCTATATCATTAACGGAAAGCTTAATACTAAAATATATGATAAAAGAGATGATTTTTCATTTCCTATCGTTAATTATCCATTTTTAGATGGTGACGTTCCCTTGTCACCATCTTACGGTGTTTATATATCTCAACTTGTACGATTCGCTCGTGTATGTAACAATGTTTTAGATTTTAACGAGAGAAATGTATGTATTACTGAAAAATTATTACACCAGGGTTTTCGATATCACAAACTAGTCAAAACATTTACTAAATTTTATCATCGGTATAAGGACATCATTCGTAAATATAGCTCAACATGCAGACTTCTTATACGTTCAGGTATTTCACATCCAATTTTTTATGGAAATATTCTTTATAAAGCACAAAAATGTCAGTATTCACCTCTGAAACTAACAAAACCTTTAAATAGACTTATTAAGAAGGGATATAGTTACGATACTGTTGTCAGGTCATTAAAGATTGCATATTTTGGCGTTGATATTGATTCACTTATAGGGTCTTTGCATCTGCACTAAACACATTTATTTAAAAACCAGTTGTTGGCATGACACGGGTTATGTTCTTCTCATATATGTTATGATGGTATGATACTAAACCCCTAACGGGAAGGATTGTGCCTGATATTCATATGATGAAGACATAATCTTTCAATCAGTTTAATTGAAGTCTGGAGCTGGCATGTCAGTTAACTGCTAGTAGTCTGTTGTTATTTATGTATTATTGTCATTTTGTTTATTTTCTTTGGTTACATCTTCTGACATCAGACTCGGACTTCTCTTGAACTGAATTTTAATGTGCGTATTGTTATGCGTTTACTTTTCTACATTGACTAGAGGTATAGGGGGAGGGTTGAGATCTCATAAACATGTTTAACCCCGCCGCATTTTTGCGCCTGTCCCAAGTCAGGAGCCTCTAGCCTTTGTTAGTCTTGTATTATTTTTAATTTTAGTTTCTTGTGTACAATTTGGAGTTTAGTATGGCGTTCATTATCACTGAACTAGTATATATATTTGTTTAGGGGCCAGCTGAAGGACGTCTCCGGGTGCGGGAATTTCTCGCTGCATTGAAGACCTGTTGGTGGCCTTCTGCTGTTGTCTGTTCTGTGGTCGGGTTGTTGTCTCTTTGACACATTCCCCATTTCCATTCTCAATTTTATTAAAACTGCATTTTACCCCTATGTTCTATTTTTAGCCATGTCGGCCATCTTGGTTGGCAGACAGGGTCATCAGACACATTTTTAAACTAGATACCCTAATGATGATTGTGGCTAAGTTTGGTTAACTTTGGCCAAGTAGTTTTAGAGGAGAAGATTTTTGTAAAAGTTAATGGACGACAACGACAGACGACGGAAGCCAAGTGATGAGAAAAGCTCACCTGGCCCAATGGGCCAGGTGAGCTAAAAAAAATGGTACATTTGTTATTTTTGGGCAAAAACTCCTGTAAGAAGTCGTCTGACAGTTTTGACGTATAAGGACAATTGGCAGAGCTCAACATTCTGAACATTTCTGCTTCTGTCAGATTTTCTCTATTTATCATGTTTATAACTGTTTTCAAAATAATAGACAAAACTTGCATTTTACCCCTATGTTCTATTTTTAGCCATGTCGGCTATCTTGGTTGTCAGGTGGAGTCATCAGACACATTATTTAAACTAGATACCCGAATGATGGTTGTGGCCAAGTTTGGCTTAGTAGTTTCAGAGGAGAAGATTTTTGTAAAAGTTAACGACGACAGACGACGACAGATGACAACGGAAGCCAAGTGATGAGAAAAGCTCACGTGGCACTTTGGGCCAGGTGAGCTATAAATGGGAAAAAAGTCATTATTCAGTGGAATAACTCCTTAACAGACTAGAGACCCAAAATGATAAGAATAGCTAATACTGTAAATTCAGAAATTATTGCGAGGTTTTCGTTAATGCGAAAAATGAGCCTGAGTGAGAATCACAATAATAAGAACATGCATTCTGATATTTGATACATACATCTGTATGTAGATTTTCCTCAAATCGCAATAATTAATCTCACATTTTTGTCCCTTTCTCAAAAATCGTAATAACAAATCCTTGCAATAATTTCTGAATTTCCAGAACTTATCATTCTCTTGGGACCAAGACAGCTTAAAAAGACCAGAAAACAGTTTGATTTCAGAAGAATGGAATGACAGTATTATATCATATAATAGTATTCTTGTCTATCTATTCCATAGGGCAATAAAATGCTTCGCTGATCGCAGCTGGATACGACTGCAGAGGTCAAACCCTGAACAGTTGGGGCAAAAATGGACACAATATTCGCGCTTGATACAGGTCTGAATTTGGATTGTAATTAAATATTTGACACATAATAGGTTTCTGACATAGAATAACTGTAGTCAAAGTACTTAGAATTGGTTATATTATTTGAATTTATATTCAATTTTTTGCTTTTGTGCAATACACTATGCTGTTGCGAATTGACCCCCTCCCCCCCAAAAAAAAAATTTACCCCCCCTTTTTTTTTGCTTTTGTGCAATACACTATGCTGTTGCATATTGACCTCCCCCCCCCCCTTTTTTTCCAAAAAAAAAATTCTTTCCCTCAAGATATATATGGTCATAATCTCAATTCAAATTTCCAAATGGAGTTTGCAACCATAATTACCAATTTAATTACATCATAAAAGTCTTAAAACAGAAAATGACATACATGTACATTATCATGGCTAAAATTAATATTCCTTTAATAGTAACTTCTAAAAATAAATTGACAGCTAATCACCTCAAGACAATACAACATTTCTTTATAAATAATTTAAAAGAAGTGTAAGGGAGGTAAATCAAAACATACACAACATTGTACTTTAAATGTGTTTGGATTACCTCCCTTACACTGCTTTTAAATTGTCCATTAACAAGGAAACCCTTGTTTGGTTTTTCCCCCTTTTTTGCCCCTAATTCCTAAACGGTTTGAGCCATAACCCCCCCAAAGCCAATCCTAGCCATCCCTTTGTGGTATGGAAACTTGTGGTATAATTTCAGAGAGATCCATACACCGTTTCACAAGTTATTGTCTGGAAACTAGAAAAATGCTTATTTGGGCCCCTTTTTGGCCCCTAATTCCTAAACTGTTAGGACTATAACCCCCAAAATCAATCCCAACCTTCCTTTTGTGGTTATAAACCTTGTGTTTAAATTTCATAGATTTCTATTTACATTTACTTAAGTTATTATCCAGAAACCAAATGTCTTCGGACGTCGACGACGAGGACGTGATACCAATATACGACCGCAAAAATTTTTGCGGTCATATAAAAACCTTTACCTGATAAATTAATAATTTTATATAATGACAGTAACCTAGATGATTGTTTATGAATAAAACCTGTAAGTAAATTACCACAGATGCCACTTTCATATAGCATGTGACCATGTGTTATTATTTTTAATTACTGTAAATTCAGAAATTATTGCGAGGTTTTTATTAATGCGAATAATGCGACTAGATGAGTATCGCAATAATAAGAACTCGCATTTTGATAACTAAAACATAGATCTGTATGTAGAATTTGCTGAAATCGCAATAATTAAACTCGCATTCTTGTCCATTTTTGAAAAATCGCAATAATAAATGCACGCCAAATTTCTGAATTTACAGTACCAGTTTTATTCTCACATCTAGCAAACCATAATTGAAGCATTCATTGCCACTTCTCTTCCATCTTACTGACCTCTTACTTCCATAGAATGTTCACTCAAAATTGTGTGAACTGATGGTTCTCTCTGTATTAATTGGTCTGCCCTTGAAAATGATGAAGCAAATTCCCCTTCTGTGGTACTGATTGTTCTGGATTCTGATACAAAATCTATGTCGGGGTCAGAAGTCTCAGGAATATGTGGAAAAGATGGACCTGAAAGGAAGAAAAATGCAACAAGAGTGAACACCTGCCTTACTGATTATGACTGAATTCTACACTTAAAGTAATGAAATCAAGATCTTACTACAGGTATCACATGTAGGGTTTGGCAGACTAATTATACTATATTTATATTTTTATTTATTTTCACCTTTAAAGTATTAAAAAATAAAATGTGGATAGTGTCCACATGTGGACACAGATGATGCCCCTGCTTGCATATCATATAGTTATAAAGGGACATAACTGAAGAACGGAAAAAGTGACGCTACCCAAATTTGAACTTGATCTGAGTTTTGTGGTAATAAGCATTGTGTGTAAGTCTCATAACATTTGGTTGAGGCTAACTTAAGTAGAGAACAGAAACTAAAAATTCAGCAATTTTTCTATTTGTAAACACGCATAACTCTAACGTGAGTGTGTATAAGTTTTACAACATTTGGTTGAGACAAACTAAAAAATTCAGCAATTTTTATGTTTATAAAAGGACATAACTCTAGAATGATAAAAGTGTTGCCACCTAATTTCGTACTTAATCTGTATTATGTAGTAATAAGCATTGTGTATAAGTTTCATAACATTTGGTTGAGGCAAACTCAAGTTAGAGAACGGAAACAAAAAAATTGTACTTGATCTTTACTGAGTTTTGTGGTAATGAATATTGTGTATAGGTTTCATAATGTTTGGCTGGGGAAAACTTCAGTTACAGAATGGAAATTAAAATTTTGCAATCTTTCGATTTATAAAGGGGCATAACTCAATAATGGTTAAAGTGACACTACCCAAATTCAACTTGATCTGTGTTTTATCAGTGGAAGTCAAAATTAAACATTGCATTGTATAAAGCATTGATTGTAGTTGATTCAACTATAATCATGGTCAAAGGAAGATAACTCCAATTTTAAAAATATTATAAACTTGATATTTAGAAGAAAATAAAAATTTTGCAATTTTTCCATTTATAAAGGGGCATAACTCTAGATCGGTTAAAGTGATGCCACCAAAATTCAAATTTGATCTGTGTTTTGTGGTAATAAGCATTGTGTATAAGTTTCATCACATTTGGTTGAGGCAAACTTAAGTTAGAGAACGGAAACTAAACATTTTGCAATATTTCCTTTTATAAAGGGGCATAACTCTTGATCAGTTAAAGTGACGCCACCAAAATTCAAACTTGATCTGTGTTTTGTGGTAATAAGCATTGTGTATAAGTTTCATAACATTTGGTTGAGGCAAACTTAAGTTAGAGAACGGAAACTAAAAATTTTGCAATATTTCCTTTTATAAAGGGGCATAACTCTAGATCAGTTAAAGTGACGCCACCAAAATTCAAACTTGATCTGTGTTTTGTGGTAATAAGCATTGTGTATAAGTTTCATAACATTTGGTTGAGGCAAACTCAAGTTAGAGAACGGAAACCAATTTCGGGACGTACGGACGGACGTACGTACGTACGTACGTACAGACGGACAAGGGTAAAACTTAATGCCCCCTCTGCTACGGCGGGGGCATAAAAATACTAAATAAATTTCCTTATTCTAAATAGACTATACATTCAAACAAAAAGTAGAGCCTGTGTCCTTATGGATCTATGTTCATTTTCAACAGTAGTCACTCTCCAAGATTATACACTAAGAATTTAAGTTATGACAAAATTTTCTATATAAAAATAAAATCACCATTAAAGGGCAATAACTCAATAAGGAATCATCGTATTGGCATTTTGTACATTTATTATTAGGTAACAGGACGTGTGCCACATTTGGATCAGGATCTGCTCACCTTTCTGGAGCACCTGAGATCACCCCAGCCATTAATAGAGGATTTTTTCACAGCATGGTACATTCATATAAACAGAGTTTGTAGAATAAACAATTTTACAGTTTCAGTAGGGATGCTTTAAGCATTCTATTCTATGCTTCATAAAATGCTCTTAGTATAAATTTAAATAACTTGACATATCTTTTAAATAAACTATTCCTTTGTTGTTTGATTGAAAACATCAAAAACAATAATGATAAAATCACTCCCGACATGATTTATAACATAACTATGAACTTATTTGTTGATGAATTCAGAAATTCGTAAGAAACTAAGGTTCTTACTCCCTAAGACAAGGTTGACCTTAGATATGGATTTGGCTATTTTAGGTCCCTTTTGGTTTTTGGTGAGCATATTTTCTGATGCTAATACTTATCTATACTGGGTAATATTAAATTCAGGTAGGAATCTTTAGAGGAGGATTAAGGGCATACAATAGTTTTGATTCCTAGGTGACTTTTTGATTAAAGTTTGCAAGCTATTTTTCACCTAGTCAATTCAAATATGTAATAAAAAATATACCTTCATGTGGTACTTTTAGAAAATGTATCTTTTCCCCGATATGCTACAGTTTGACATCGTGAAAAATAACATTTTACGTTAGCTACGTCATTACCTCCCCTGTAACTGTATTGTATGCCCTTGAGTGATCAATTACAAATGCAATACATAAAAGATATATATGTATTACATAACACACATAGGCATAAGGGAAAATTTTTCTCAAGCATGATAAGAATTCATAGATAATCATCTTGAAAATTATTTAATTAATTGCCATTCTGTCTAAAGTTGGTCAAACTTTTAATATGAAGCCAAATAAATCAAATTGTTTTTCTTTCAATATTTATATACAGGTACAAATTATGTAACTTATACTGGTATTATTAAGAGTTAATAATTATTCATATGTAAGGAAATACTTGTTCAACAATTTGTTTTTATAGCTAAGAAGTATACAATTTAAGCATAGTTACTTACTATTTCCTAAATGAAATTGGGACAAAGAAGTGACATTCCTGTGTCCTGATGCTGCCATGATTCCCTCTCCTTGGCTTTCTATAGCTGGAGACAATGGTGTCCGACTATATATAACTTCTGAAATAAATTAATTTTTGAAATGTTTCATCAATACTCAATATCAGAAAATAAACATTTTGTGACTGTACAGAGAAAAAAAAATAAACAGCTGCGCCATGAGCGCATGATACGCCCGTCGCTTTTTCAAAGAATAAAGTTCAATAACTTCTCAATGTAATATCAGAAATTTATGAAAAACTAAAGGGAGGTTATCTGAATAGATCCAAACCAGTCACCAAAGCACTTTGAAGATATTGTCCGAAAACTTGAAAATCACCCATTTTTTATGAATAATATCTCATAACTCGGAAATGTAAAATCTAAAATTTATAAAAATTGAAAGGGAGCTTGCGTCAATAGAAATAATTCACCGAAGTTTCATAAAAACTACTGAAAGCATTTTTGAGTTATTGTCCGAAAACTTGAAAATCCCCCTTTTATTAATGAATAAAACCCCCCTTTTATTAATGAATAAAACCCCATAACTCCGAAACGTAAAATCTAAAATTTACAAAAATTGAAAGGGAGCTCACGTCAATAGAAAAAAACAATTCACCAAAGTTTCTTGCAAATTGGTGAAAGTGTTTTCGAGTTATTGTGCGAAAACTGGAAAATACCCCTTTTTTAATGAATAAAACCCCATAACTCGGAACGTAAAATCTAAAATTTATAAAAACGAAAGGGAGTTCACGTCAATAGATATAAACACTTCACCAAAGTTTCGTGCAAATTGGTTACAGCGTTTTTGAGTTATTGTCCGACATGTTGACGATGGACGGACAGACATTCAATAATCAAGGGCAGTTGATTATATTGAATTTGATCTGACAATTTGTGTTTTTTTTAACTTTTGAAGAGAATAAGGCCCGAGACCCCCTCTTTTTATTTGATATTTTAGAAGTATTTATAAAAAGCAATTCTCTCAGTGAATTTTAACCAATTCTATCGTTTAATGTTTCCTCAATATAGAAACATTCATTTTTCCCTATACAACCCAAATGAAATAGCTGTGATTTCATTAATTTCAATGTTTTTAACGAAAAACAAGGTCTGTGACCCCCAGTTTTTTTCATTGAAATTTGAAAGTTCATTGACCCGGATGTCTTTTACAGAAGTTTAAAAAATCTATCGTCGAACATTTAGACACCCCATCTACCTTAAATTTCACATATACATGTCATTTTCTTTACAATGATTTAAAAAAAAAAAAGGGGGGGGGGGACACCACGACTTCAATGCGCAGACGTTTCTGGAATATACTTCATCAAATATACAATCTGAAAACTGGGATAATCGATCTATACATTTTGCAATCCTTTAAACGAGACAATCCCATAAAACAATTATACAAACAAAAAACAAATACAAAGAAAGAAAAAAAGAAAGTAAGAAAACCCAACCTACAAAAAACATAAAAGTAAACAAAGAATTTAACAAAATCAAGACAAAATCAATAAAATAAAATAATCTCCACATATATTTACAAATTATTAATGGCCAATCTTAACATTAATCAGAATTCTGAAATCATAGCTGATGTTTTATGGTCAAATGTGTGTCGCTGATATCAAATTTGGAATCCAACATTACTTTCAAACATTTAATTTAGATTCATTTGTCCAATCATTCATGAAACAATAAAATTTACAATTTATGTTTCAAAAAAAAAAGGCCAAGAAAGCACTCTTAAAATACCTTGTTTTGTATTGATTTTTCGTGTGTGCATGTCCATAAAAACAACTTTTGTCTTCATAGTTAAAGAATGAGTTTACAGCCTGTTGTTTTGTATATTTAAAATAATTTAATTAATTCAATGCATATATTTCTTTACATGACAACTCACCATCTGTGGAAGAAGACTCAGGAAAAATAATATCTGCCATGGAACTTGATACTGCCACAAGTCCATGTGGTCCCATTGCATTTTCTGTAGCTTGATTGATCAGTGTTGGACTAGTCAAATCTGAAATAAGTATATTGCACAATGTTGCATGTCAGAAAAATATACTAAAACTGATATCATGGCTATGTTTTCGAATCATGAATTTCGCATGGTCAAGGGCATGCTTTTGAAATCCAATTTGAAACAAAAATTACTTACACATATCAAATTTAGACCAACCAGTCAAATCATTCATACATCTATAAAATTTACACAAGGATTCCTGAAACAAATCAAAACTAGATGCATGGGTACAACATGAATGGTCCATATAAGCATTTAAACCATTGAATTCTTCAAATTATTTTCAGTGTTTTTTTTAAACCTCTGATGTGTATTGCCATGCGCATTACAATGTATTATTAGATATTGGTATGAAATTGTGTCATGAGTCAAAGACTCATTACTAAAATGGTAATTTCCAAGAATATTTGAAGAATTTAAACCAATGTGGTGTAATACCACCATTGATTTTCCTCTATTAGTCTTTGTTAAATTTGCACTTTCAAAAAATTGTGCAGAATTTATCTTTGTTTCAAATAAAGAAATGCTTGGCATGAGTACAGTTTTATCCTGTCCAGTACTATAGACAAAATTTCACATCACATTTCATTGCATATAAGAAAATAACCATCACTGGAAGTTAACCAATCAAATTTTCACCTCTTTTTTTACCTGTGTACAGGCTTTAGTAACCATGTAACCTCAAGTTTCCAAAATATTCTATAGAAACACCAAATAAAAAAATAATGGTGCTTTGAAACACCTAAGATAAATGTTTATGACCCAGAAATTTTTTACTGCAATGAAATGTAGGATTAATTTCCTACAACTGTCAAATTCAAGGGAATATTTTTTTTCGACCCTTTTTCGTATGTAACCGGATGTGACGTACTATGATTTGGTGGTACTACACCTTGTTAATAGTTTATATCAATCATTCAAAGTACATGTATTGGATGATGATGGCAAATCTTTGATAGTCACAACTTTTCAAGACTCAGAACCACTTAGTGCTGGGTTGTTAGTTTCTAGAGGATTAACTCCCAAAATAGGAACAAAAATGGGTCAAATCCTCAAATGGCTGGGTTTCATTAAGTGTGACTAATCAATGTAGAATGTTTACAATGAAGTGGCAATTACATGACATGCATGAGGGTTGTAAATAACTAAGTTTCAAAGTCCTGAAAAATATGGAAAAAATTCTTCAAACATTTCCATATTAGCAGGTGCACAACTTCAACACATGTACAATCTGTACAACAAGTCTTAGGGATCATGAATGAAAACAGTAGAAGTTGAAAACTTGTTCCCTTTTTTATAAATTTTGGTGAAAACTGATTAAGTTCCAAAGTCTGGAAAAATGAGAAAAAATTCCTCAAACAATCCTATAATAACAGATATATAATGTCAACATCTGTCCAATCTTCCTGTGAAGTTTCAGGGATTTGTACAGACATGGAGGGAGTCAAAATCTCCAAATTTTTAAGCCCTCTTCAGTCCCTCCCTTTTATAATTTAAATCTTCCTTTTTTGGGGGAAAATTTCAACTACAAACTAGAGGCTCTAAAGAGCCTGTGTTGCTCAGCTTAGTCTATGTGCATATTCAACAAAGGACACTCTCCAACATTGTAGACGAGAATAGAATTCATGACAAAAATCTGTTTTGTTGATCTTGTATTGCTGATCATTTAGTCTGTCTAGTTTCTCTCTATCTCCTTCAGTTTTTTTATCTATTATAATATTTGTCGTATAAGGCAAAAAGCCAAAAAATGGTCATTGAAGGGCAATAAAAAATATGTCAGTCTTCATTTTTTTTTATTACCATCGATATCAATCTCAAATATCGATTTTGTGTCACTGAGGAAGGTAATGTTTACCTGCAAATCAAAGAACTTGGATAATCATATGGCTTCCATTGACAGCTTGGGTGTCAAACATACTATTAATTAACTTCTTTTACCTCAGACTTACTGCTATTATGTAATAAATGATCTGTGTACTTGAAAACACTTGATAGAAATTTCGAGTTTCTTCCCTTCCTCCTCTCACAGTGGCAAAACCGATGATGCAAGAACAATAGAAAAGTGACTCTTCTTATGAAAGAGTCAACAAATTCAACAGTAAATCAATGCAAGTGACAATACCGATTAAAAGTTATTTCTAAACAACAATCATACATTTTAAAGAAAGTATTTGTTAAACTGTGTCATTAGAAATATACATGCAAATGTTTGATTTCCTCATTTATCAAGATATTTCCATTATTAGGCCAAATAATTCAACTAAAACGGATAGTTGTATTGAAATTGTTGAAAATTGAAACAAGAGTGCACACACTGAAATGTCTCGCCTTCTTTACTGACCATTGATTTTATGTTGATAGTTCTTAATATAAAGCTTTACTTAAAGTATCACATAAACTTAACATGATCCAAGAAAATTAGGTCGAGGTCAGATAAACCAAACCGAAAATACATGTACACCTTACAATCATTCAATACACCAAATATAGTTGACCAATTGCTTATAGTTTCTTAGAAACAGACTAAAACAGGAAAACTAAACATTGACCAATGAACCATGAAAATAAGGTCAAGGTCAGATGAACCATGCCAGACAGACATGTACACCTTACAATCAATCTATGCATTAAATATAGTTGACCTATTGGTTATAGTTTAAGAAAAACAGACCAAAACACAAAAACTAAACACTGAGCAATGAAATGTGAAAATGAGGTCACGGTCAGATGACACCTGCCAGTTGGACATGTACACCTTACAATCATTCCATACACCAAATATAAAAGACCTATTGCTTATAGTATCTGATATATGGACTTGACCACGAAAACTTAACCTTGTTCACGGATCCATGAAATGAGGTCGAGGTCAGATGAAAACTGTCTGACGAGCATGAGGACCTTGCAAGGTATGCACATATTAAATTTAGTTATCCTATTACTCATAATAAGAGAGAAATTAACATTACAAAAAATGTTGACTTTTTTTTCAAGTAGTCACTGAACCATGAAAATGAGGTCAAGGACAATGGACATATGACAGACGGAAACTTCATAATATAAGGCATCTATATACAAAGTATGAAGCATCCAGGTCTTCCACCTTGGAAAATATATAGCTTTAAAGATGTTAGCTAAGGACGCCGCCACCGCCAGATCACTATCCCTATGTCGAGCTTTCTGTGACAAAAGTCGCAGGCTCGACAAAAAAGCATCAAAACAACGGAAAAGGCACGCAAGCAAAGATAAATATGAACAGGACTTTAAATGGCTAATCATCACAGAGGAAGGATATTACTGTTCTGTGTGCCAAAAATACAGCACTAAAGCAAGGAACAGGACAGAAACTTGGATCAATAGGCCATGCATTCGCCGGAGGAGGGAGTCCTGCAAAAGCCATCTGCTATCCGAGATGCACAAAACTAATTTGTCAAATGAAAGGCTAGCAGTGATAGCAGAAGAACAAGGACAAGGTAAGACCATATCATGAAAATCTCTTGAATATTTATTATACATACTGTTTCCTTCTCAATATGTCAGATTTTTTCAAAAAGTATAAAAATATAAACTTTTTTTCAGGTCTCATTCGAACAGCATTTGAAATTCAAATCAATGCCAATGAAGCAGCTATTATTGCCCAGTTGAAGATTATGTACTGGTAACTAGTTGAAGAAATTCCGCATTCCACAAAATTTGCCAGTCTTAGTAATTTATTTCGAAATATGGGTTGTGCTGAGTTGGCTCTTCTAGAGGACACAGATAAGACAAAGTACACATCATAGAGAAACATAAAAGATCATGTGCTCTGCATTACCCCCATGCCACCCACAGTAAAAAAAAACCCAGTTGGAAATGTTTAAAAAAAACAAAACACCTGGTTGCAAGTGTTTTTTTCAATACATCCACCTTACCTCAGAGAAAAAAGGAGAACACTGGTATGTTATTTTTATCTAGATCTATTAATGTATTGAAGTTGGACCTTTGACTGTCCAAGGCACCAATTTTCAGAGCATTCAGCATAGTCTTTAGCATGTTTCAATTCCCCAAAATATACCCATTTTCAAAATATAAGTTTTCGAGTACATCAGTCTGCTCTCGTCAAATCAACTTTCAATATAGATTTTTTTTTCTTTTCATGAAAATAACGATTTAATAAGTTTTTCCAGGTTAAAAAATAAAAGATAAATATTTTGACTAAAACTTTAACAGATTTAAAGGACACTACACATGCAAATATGAAAAATTTTTTTTTTTAGGTTTTCATACCTGTCAACCTATGAAAATGAAAATGCAGGTCATGACCTGCATCGAAGAAGAAAATCTCAGGTCATCACACATACACACTTTTTTTCGACTGAACTTAAGCATTTAGGTGACATTTCTTTATATTTTAAATCTACTAGTTTTTAAAATATGTTCACATGGTAATGTAGTAACTGAAATTAATTTTATTCTTTAATTTTATTATTTCATTCCATAATGAGCCTTTGTTTAATCAATGTAATATCAGTTCTCAGACTACATGTTTTCCTGTATGTATCATTGAGCACATATTTGTTGATGTGGAAATGTAATAAAATAATTAAGCATTTAAAGGAAGTAGAGATCAAAAAATTAAATTTCAAAATAATTTTTAAATTGTTCTAAGGTAGAAAAACAAAAGAAAATAATATTCTAATATGTATTTGCATTCAATTTCTTTTAGATTTAATCTTTTTACAAAAAAAAAACAACATAAAATTAAGGAGTATATTGTGAAAGGTGACAAAAAAGGGGAAGTAACTCAAATTTATTGTCAAACAACTTTGAAATAGACAAATTATTTAGACCCTAAGCTAATGTAATTGGTGTTAATTACCAGTGTGTTTGACACCAAAGCTGTCAAGTGAAGTCATGCACTTAATGAGTCACTTAATTAGACACACACAGCTATTTGAACTTCCTCTCCATGAAAAATTACAAATCTGCAGGTATTTCAGAGGAAAATCACTTATGAAATCAGTCTAAAGGCTCAAGAATCCGGGTGAAAATGGGTCATTTTCTGAATTCACAGGTTATTTTAAGACCCGGCGGGTATTTAAAAAATCCCGGGTATGGGGTGAAATTCTCAGGTGTGACCCGCAGGATACGGGTCAGTTGACAGGTATGGGTTTTTTTAACCTCTGATCAAGTATTTTTCATTTCACTGTATTATTTTGATTTTTTTGATTTTTGGTGTTTTAACGCCACTTTTAAGCACCGCTTTTGGGCTATTTCGTGGCGGCCAGTTTTTATTGGTGGAGGAAGCCGGAGCGCCCGGAGAAAACCACCGACCTTCGATAGGAAAACTGACAATCCTAGTCAATTAAGATTGGAGTCGAGTGCACCCGCACGAGCGGGGTTCGAACTCACAACCTCAGTGTTGACTGGCTAGTGATTACAGTAGTAACTACTTAGACCACTCGGCCACCGAGGCCCCTCACTGTATTATAAGATATACAGTTATTTTGTGGTGCATTTCTTTAGAACAATAAACGCAAACTAAAAGAATTACACCTGTGTTTTTCTAAATTAGAGTTTTATAGTGTAGTGTACTTCTTTTGGAACATATCAAAATTTTAGAAACGTCTACCAGTCCGAACTCAAAATATGCACAATTTTATGTTAAGGGAGTCTTTAATTTTGTTTTGATAGCTTCAGACAAACTAATTTAATACTTTTTTACACTGGACGGAATCACTTCTTAACCTTTAAATTAATGACAAAAACTTCTATACATGTAATTTCATCCCCTTGTTCTTATTTTTCTATACCTGAAATATAATTTTTAACGAGTATGAAAAAAATTAATTTAAAAGGTGTACAAGAAAATAAACATGATAAAAGGTGTATGAAAAAAATTTGCAAGTCATACTGTCCATACAACATGTACAAGGGACTATATTTGTAGAAAACTAAAAGCAAAGGATAACAAATGTGTCACCTGATTTATCAGAATAGAAAGACTTTACTACTTTAAATAAATTTTGCATGACTTAGGCCTAGGGCATTTTAAAACAGTTATTTAAATCGAGCTTCATGGCTCAGAGTTGGTATTTTTTCCATACAAAACTTTGTTCTGAAGGGATAAAAATACCTCCACAATGTACTGGTATTTCTCCACCAGGGATTGTTTCAGTTCTCAGATTAATGGTACTGGTAGAATTTGTGGCTAAGTGGTTTTTATCGTCATCACTTCTTTTTCCCCCTTTCTCTTGCTGATCATCTCCAGCACTAGCCAAGCTCTCATCAGGGTCTGAAAATATTCACTTTTTGTTTTAAAGTTTAAGAATACTACACATGACATATCTATTTCAAATGTTTTTTTAACCTGTAATAAAGTATTTTTCATTGCAATGCATTATTAGATATACTGGCCAAGAACACAGCTATTAGAACAATAAATCCAAACTAAAAAAATCACACCAGTGTTTTCTCAAAAAAGATTTTTACAATGTAGTGTACTACTTTTGGAACAAACTATGGAAAAATGATAGAAAAATCTATTTATTAAAAATAAGAAGATGTGGCATGATTGCAAATGAGACAACTCTCCACAAGAGACCAAATGAAACAGAAATCAACAACTATAGGTCACCGTATATCCTTCAATGAGAAAAACCCATACCAGGTAGTCAACTATTAAAGGCCCCAAAATGACAAATGTAAAACTATTTAAACAAGAAAAATAACAGCCTAGTTTATTATATATACAAAATTGGCAGTTGACCAAGTTTCATGGCAAAAGGATATATTTTAGAGACAATATGACCATTGTTTTTTTATTTGAATAAATTCAACTACTGAGAAAGAACTTTTATTCGTGGGGTACCAATTTTTGTAGTTTTTGTGGATGGCTTAATCCAAAATTTAAGTGACCAATGAAATATAACAATTGATGTCAAAATAAAGACATGGGAGATCCCCATGTATGTTTGACCACATGGATACAGGCAGAGACATAATACATTATATGTCTCTGATATGGGCACACACTCTTAGAGAATACATATAATATTAACAAACGCAATATGCACTATATATACAACTTCATACTGGATTTACCCATTTAATCTTTTAAAAAAGGTAAAGTGTACGACTTTTAACCTTTTCTCATGAAAAAATAGTTTTTTGATCGATTAAAGTCTAACTTCCGGTGATGATACATGTAACTGATGATGAAGTGTTTTTTTTCATAAGATTCTAAGTAAATTTGTAGCATTGTTCATTTAACCGTTTTCTTTAAGTGACAATCATGACAATGTTTATGGTCCAATTAACACATTTGTTGATTGTAATCTGTTGATCATTTGAACTTGGGTTAATTAGTGTCATCACTTCTGATTACATGTGTACAACAATTAAAATGTTGACTTTGCAATTTCCTTTAATCAAGACAATTTTTAAGCATAGATGAATCAGACTTTATTTCTGAAAGCAATTATTTTATAAAAATTTGATAAATGTTGTCAGTAATGACATTCATGACATTATTAAAGGTATAAAAAATACCTTGTGAATGGGCTTGTGTTTCTCCATCAGGGATTGTTCCAGTTCTTACATTGTTGGTCAAAGTAGCTATATATCTTGGAGAAATGTGTTTTTCACCATCAACAGTTCTTTTTGCTTCATCTTCATCATTTTCATCAGCGTCATTGCTGGTGCTGCAGAATCTGAGTAATCTCGTTCTTGGTAGAGAGTTCCCTTTCTCTTCCTGACCATCTCCACCACTCGCCATGCTTTCATCTGATTCTGTAATTATTCAGTTTTGGTTTAAATGTTAAAGAATACTTCACAATGACATATGAAATACTTTTTCTAAAAGCGTTTTTTTCCACCCCTACTCTATCTGTATTTTACATTTTAATGAATAACCAGACATAGATATAAGAAGATGTGGTATGAGTGCCAATAAGACAACTCTCCATCCAAGTCACAATTTGTAAAAGTAAACCATTATAGGTCAAAGTACGGCCTTCAACACAGAGCCTTGGCTCACACCGAACAGCATGCTATAAAGGGCCCCAAAAATGACTAGTGTAAAACCATTCAAACAGGAAAACCAACGGTCTAATCTATCATGTCTATATAAAAAAATTCGTAAGGGTTCCACGGAACCCAGTGTCTCGCCTACTTTTGCTGTTAATCGCAGGCTCAACAAAAATGAGGAAAAAAATCAATAAAAATATTCCTTTAGATACTATCTTTTGATTGTAAGAAGCTTCTGTCAAAGTTTGGTATAAGCCCAGGATAGTTTATGAATCTAATAAATGTTTTAAAAACTTTAACTGCAGACTGTATTTAATGTTAACTGGAAGAAAAACTAAGTCCATTTATAAGTAAAATACAGATAAACAGGTACAAATTTTAACAAAATTTCCTTCTAGATACTAGCTTTTGATCATAAACAAGCTTCTGTCCAAATTTGGTACAAATCCAGGATAGTTTAAGAAAGTTATTAAAATTTTAAAAACTTTAACCACAGAGTGAATGTATTGTTTCCTGGCAGAAAAACTAAGTCCATTTATAAGTAAAATACGGAAAAAAGAAATTTTTTTTTAACAAATTTACTTCTGGATACTATCTTATGATCATAAACAAGCTTCTGTCCAAGTTTGGTACAAATCCAGGATAGTTTAAGAAAGTTATTAAAATTTTAAAAACTTTAACCACAGAGTGAATGTATTGTTTCCTGGAAGAAAAACTAAGTCCATTTATAAGTAAAATACGGAAAAAATGAAATTTTTTTTTAACAAATTTACTTCTGGATACTATCTTATGATCATAAACAAGCTTCTGTCCAAGTTTGGTACAAATCCAGGATAGTTTAAGAAAGTTATTAAAATTTTAAAAACTTTAACCACAGAGTAAATGTAATGTTTCCTGGCAGAAAAACTAAGTCCATTTACAAGTAAAATACGGAAAAACAGGAATTTTATTTTTACAAAATTTAATTCTGGATACTATCTTATGATCATAAACAAGCTTCTGTCCAAGTTTGGTAGAAATCCAGGATAGTTCAAGAAAGTTATTAAAATTTCAAAAACTTTAACCACAGAGTGAATATCTGTGGACGCCGCCGACATCATAGACGACGCCGACGGAATGTAGGATCGCTATGTCTCGCTTTTTCGACTAAAGTCGAAGGCTCGACAAAAACAAGAAACCAGAAATACTAATGAACCACATCAACAAAAGACAACCACTGAACAACAGGTTCCTGACTTAGGACAGGTGCAAACAAATGCAGGGGATTTAAACGTTTTAACAGGTGCCAACCTTCACCATAACCTGAAATAATAGTGATACATCACAAAATAGAAAGACTCACTATAAAATATCAATTGAAATGGCTTAACTCAATCAAAAGACATATTAACAAAAACAAGTAAACAAACACTGAACGAATAAATTTGATCTATGACACAATTAATGTACATATTGTAAATACAAAATCAATAAAAAAGGGGGGTGAGATATAAAACAATATCAGAAAGACAACTATCACCTTGGACAAAATGCTGTTAAATAAAATGACATATTTTGATTGTCACCAAACTCTTTCTGTGGCTGTCCAAATTGATGATTTTTTTCAGAAATAACTTTTGTTTACAAATTTACTGTGACTTTCTGTCCTACACTCCAAACTAAAGACCTCCCACACTTGTGGCAAACAGGCGAAAGAACAAGACATTTGAGATGGTATATAATAATAAGAAGTGTCACATTTAAATAGACGAGCTTCTTACTTCAGTTTAATTGCTGAGGTTAAGTCTGGTTGCATGACCTAAAGTCATTTTGGAGAAAATGCATAATACGTTGTAGGACACAGGAATAACCATTAATTGATGGATTAGTATACCTCAATTGAGGTATAATCCACCATTTGACATATAGTGAGATAGACCAATTGAGGTATAATGCAGTTTTTATCATAAATTCTTTTAAAGAGACATTCGAGCATCATTTTGCATATACCATCTTAAGCTTTGATGAGTACTCATTAGTGACATGTAATTGCTTCTGACTTCCTGTGGTGTGTTTTGAAAAATGTGTATTATACCTGAATTGAGGTATAATCCACCAATTGATGGATATTCACAATTGGTTGCCTTAATTCTGCATCAGTTCCAACTTTAAGATTTGTTAGTCGAAATGGATAGGAAGAGATAGATTACAGAACAAAAATAAGATTTAATAGATGAAAACTCAGAATTTATAGTAGGAAAAGGAGGGTCATATTAGTTTTTAGGTTTCTCTAAAAAAAAAATGCAGCATGAAGTGTCAGAATCAATTACATGTCATCACTAAGTGGTCATCAAAGCTTGTTATGGTAAATGCAAAAAGATGCTCCAATATATTTTTTTTTTTTTTTTTTTTCTTTTTTTGATAAAAGATGCATTATACCTCAATTGGTGTATCCCATTGTATGTCAAATGGTGGATTATACCTCAATTCAGGTATAATCCACCAATTAATGGTTATTACTGACCTGTTGAAGATAATTACTTTGTTCATAAAATTCAGTCTGGGAAAATGCACTGACAGTTGATTGTGTTAACCAGCTGCATCCAGTGAATTAACATGATTAATTAGTCCAAATAATTATGAGGTCTTGAAAATGACCATGCAAGGGAATGCTCTTCCCCCTGGAGTTGTATTAGCACAGTCATTCCAGGCTGGTAACACCAATGACCGAATGACACCTGAAATTTTAATTTTAGCACATATTGGTGACTTTTAAACATTGATTAATAAATAATATTACATTATAAATGTATGTTATAACTTAAAATGATTTATTAAAGCAGGTAAGTTCATAAAATTTCATTATAATTTCGTGGATAAATCCAACATGGCTACCAAGGAAATCATAATGAGAATACTAAAAGGTGGATAATGCATATATACGATCGCCCAATGTGTTCAGTTTGGACTACCAAAGTGGAGCCCTCATTTGTAAAAAAATTAAAACTCACTGACTCTCCATGAATTGAAATGTATCTCATTTAAAGGAGCACTAGACTAAGCTGTCAAATTCATGTTCACCGATTTGACTCAAATTCTCAAATTCGACTTATAACATACAAAATGTATATCCGAATAAAAAAAGTCTAAAATAAATAATTTAGTTTTTTGTCTAATTATTTTTGTTTGAATAGAATCAATTCAATATTCAAGAAGTTATTGAAGTTTTTATCGGCACACGCCGTTATTTGGGATATGTCATGCATGACCGATGATCATATTCAATACCAATTATCATGTTGATTAAGTCTATACAAACCCTTGATTAGGTCGTTTGATCTTTATTGATTAGTGTCATTAAAAAACAAACCAATTAACAATATAATAGAGTTGAAAGGTAATAAATATTTCAGGTATTGGGCATTTGTCATCATCGTGATATGTATTTATAAAGGTTACTCAGGAACACGTGTATTTGTTTATGTTAAGCACGTGTGTTCAAATCAAAACCTGTTTATGTTTAATTTGATTGGACAAACAGTATGTTATTACCTGTTTAGGTAATATTAATCATGATAATTTCATGCTAGAATTTAAGCGCTAAATTGTAGTATTATAGTGTAGAATTGTCATTCGAGGTTCGCCTTTCCGACAGTACAGTATCGTTTCCCGCCCACCCACCCTTTACTTCAGAGGAAAGTACATAATGTTATAAAGTAAATAGTATATAAGAACTGTATAAATGTAAAGATTTTGTTCTTCAACTTATAGAATTCTTTTCTATTGTAAATTGTGTTTATATGTGATGGCAGTGGTTGATGACAGCAAATTGGACATTTGTGTTTTATTAACTGGATTTTCGAAGTAAAAATCGGTTATTGATTTTAGTTTTTCTCGTTTTTCAGTTATAGTCCTTTCCCAAGAATTCAATTTTTGATGAGTTAATTCTTTTCTGTACAAAGGGAAATAACTCATTTTTTAAAAGATTTTTAAAAGACATTGTATTAATGATAAATGACATTTTGGATTTTTTTTCTTTTCTTTGGTAAATTGTTTTGAAGAATTTTTGGTAGGTTTGTTTGTTATTCTGTATAAACTAATTTTCTGAATGCTATATATATATATTTTTTTTATGAAGTGAACTCTTTTAATTAGATAATAATCTATTTTTATTAAAAGATATATTTCATTACATTTAAAGTTGTTGACATTGATAGATACATGTAAGTTGCAGATCTATATTAGTTTGTGACAAATGAAAGAAAAATATTTGGAACTATTAATTATATTTGATTATAATTTGAAAATAGATATACATTGTGTTACATCATATCTAATTTTGAAGAACTATTTTTAGTGGTTAATTCATATCTAATGTTAGAGTACTATGTTAAACCATATTTCTGTTCAAAGGGAAATAACTCAAACTTATTCCATGAACCAGTAATGATAACATAAAAGTTTCTTTATAACTATTTTTTTTAAGTCATGTGTGTTATGAAGGTAGATGTCACAGTCATTGACGCGCGAGACGGTGTTGTGAAGTCACGTGACCCTCGAATATATATGTCTGGAGTTAGATTATTAATATCTTTTCAAGGGAGACCGTTGAACAGAGCACATGTGTATTGATCAGAGTAACACGATCACTATTGGTTTTATTATTTACAGGTCCTTGATGTCTGATGTGTGGCTGATGGGGGACCTTGGTTTATTAATAAAGATAAGATGCATGTATACATCATGATGGCTGCAAAGTATGAGGCTATAATTAGTTAATTTTGTTCATTTTATCGTTTCAGTTGCATGGAACCCGTAAAACAATGACACATGCCATTTCGACAAAAACTTTCCAGTTATTTATCATGTCACGACTAACATTTTGGTCAAATTTTTTGGATACGGCTTACGGTTTATGAATTACAAAAACAAAATGACAAATTTATTTGGTAAAGGCAGATAACTCCTATAGGATCTCACTGGATCGCTTCAATCCAAATTAGCCAAAAATTCCTGAGGATGTAACAAACAATTTAGAAAAAGAATTTTTTCGTTATCATTTTGTGTTACGAAGGTGATGCATACACTTGATAAACAGTGAATTGGGAGATAACTCTTACTAAGGAAATTGTTCGGCTTAGCAGGGTGAAATTTAAAAGCACATACACTGTTCCATACAACAGAAGAAATATCAAAGCGACATATTGCAAAACAAAAATTTATCGCAAGAACAAAGTTTGGCGGAAGAAAAAATAATAATAATCAGAACAAATACAATAGGTCTTTCCTAAGAAAAGTGGAAAGACCTAATTATCTAATTGACACAAAAAACTTTATAATTCAACTTACTAGAAGTACTAAAATGTAATGTTTACCAATAAAATGGATGATATATACCTGTACCATATTTCACTGTTTTAATAGAGAAAATTACGGATAGAAAAACAGCGCGGGATTTTTTTTTATAAGATCATAACTTTCTAAAAGGAAACTCTATAGGAACTTCGAAATTGTGTATTTCAACATTTTAGTTTTTTGTCCTAGACAAATCAATTGTGCGGATGATAGATTTATGTAACAAATTTCACTATCTCAATAAAGAAAATTACAGTTATTACATTCAAATTCTCTAAAAAGAAACTCTCAAGACAAACTTCGAAATTGTTCAATCCCTCTGAGCTTCATTATTTTCGATATACTTGTCATACATATGTACATCCTGAATAAATCAATTGTTATTTTTTTCAAATTTGGAAAATTATACATTCTGAAAGGTTTGAACTTTCCAGTAAGAGCTAAACACACTCATTTGACCCTGGTTATTTAAATCACTCGTGTTTATCGGCAAGTCATTTCCCGCCAAACTTAGCTTGTGCAGTCGGCAATCTTTTGTAAAATGTTATCAGCCAGGTCAAGTTCATTTTACGATTCAATTGTAAAATGTTGTCAGCCAGTTCTAACTGTTTTATAAAACGAGTGAGGTCAAATTCATTTTACGATTCAATCAAGTGGTTTTTTAAATGATATACTGATTATTTGAATTTATTGGAAAATAGATAAGATAAGAAGAGATAAGATATTTTATTCCAATTAACAGGCCTATGAAGATCAAAGTAATTTATTACAATGATTTAGATAATTGACACAATAATCAAATAATATATGTTTCCCAATGTTTATAATGCCGATAACATTCGTTTTATTTATTCCTTTCTTTTTTCTTTCGTTTAATAAATTATCAAGTAACAGCTTTGTTGGCAACCATGTCAAAAAATATTGCGTATCAAATTTTCTAACGGTATTGATGGATTGTAATGCATGATTAATTTTACGGCTTTTTACCAACTTTGATCAACTTGATAATGAATACGTTTAATTTGAAATGTTAACTAATGAAAGGAAACTGTACTTTTTTAATTGTAAACAATTGAAATTTGTATCTTTTTTCAGGAAATATATATGGCGTTCAAGATACATGTAACTTATAATTTTAAAATGATAATGTATTTCTCTTTGGAATGTATGCAATCCATCTTTTAGTATTCTTATTATGATTTCCTTGGTCGCCATGTTGGATTTATCCATGAAATTATAATGACTCTGTATCTGTATCTGTATTGGTACGTGTAGAATCCTGTTAAGGCTTTTATACACGTGGAGAAGAGCGCCGTTGTTATGGGCGGTGTTCTTGTAGAGCGGTCTTAAATGCCTCTACAGAACCTGCATGCACAACTTTATCTGGTAGTTGGTTCCAGTGAATAGTTGTTTCTATGAAGAATGAATGTTTATACTGTGGCTTGTTGCTGTCTGGTACTTTAAGCCCTCTGGTGTTACAATGATTATTTGCCGTTCAATAATATTGTCTGTTTTACAGTTTGAATATACTTTGGCTTTGATTGTTCGTTTCGGTCTTACTGGTGTGACAAAATTGTCGGCTGGTAGAGCAGCGGGCACCAGACCCTCAACCACTTTGTATATCAGGATCAGACAGAGGCTGTGTCTTCTTTCCTCTAGCATCTCCATTTCAAGCTGTCATCTCATGTTGGTTATAGACCCTGTTTCTTGACTCCTGTAGTTTTTCTTGATAAATCGTAAAAATGACCAGAGATTGGGACATTTTATGAACTTATCTGCTTTAATAAATCATTTTTAAGTTATAACATACACTTATAATGTAATATTCATTATTAATCAATGTTAAAGAGTCACCAATATTTGCTGAAATTAAAATTTAAGTGTCATTCGGTCATGCAAGGTACCAATTCCAGGCTTCTAAATTCAATGCCTCAGTCATGTCAGTGATGATGGTTACTTCATTTTGAAACATTGAAAGGAAGGGGTGACATGCGTCAGTTCGCACACTAAAGATAAGGTAGTTTGATCAGTTTACGTATGGTGGTCCTGATATCTGTCAATTTTGAGTGAAGGGTTGTCCTACAATAAACTAAAAGGTTGTAATAGTTTTTTTGTGATAAAAAGAGAGCATGTCAAAAGTCAAGCCAAAAAAAAATCTTTCTAGGGGTCATAATTATTTGGACTACAGCAATTAGTCATTATATAGTCCTTACTGATGACTAAATAATTCATTTATTACCTTAAATCTGCAAAAATATATGGATAAGCAGATGATGAAATCCGTGTGCGGCCAGCTGATAAAATGAAAGCGGAAATAGACAACTTCGCCTCAATTCGGACGATTCCGTACCCGAAATAGAGTAGCGGACTCACCCGAAAAATGTCGATTGAAACAGTTAATGTAAATCGAATCTTCCTCCAATGAAAGAGCACCTCATTAAACTTATTAATATGCCAATAAAAAGTTCAGAGTTTCCTGACCATCTAAAGGCACAGGTTGTTCCATTGCATAAGAAGAATAGTCAGTTAGAGGCAGAAAACTACAGACATGTTAGCATACTACCGGTGGTGTCAAAGTTCTTTGAAAGGGCCACATACCAGCAGCTAATAGAATATTTTAGTAAGATATTTCATCCTTCTTTGTCAGCTTTTATACCTGGCTATGGCTGTAATACAGCACTTCTAAAAGTCATTGAGGACTGGAAAAAAGCAGTCGACCAACATTTATATGTTGCAGTTGTTCTTATGGACCTTTCGAAGGCCTTCAAGTTGATTGCCTACTTACTGTTATTAAAGTTGCAGGCATATGGCCTGTCAAATGAGGCACTAAAACTTATTGACAACTATCATGACTATCTGTCGAACAGAAAACAATGTGTAAAAGTTGGTGCATATTTTAGTACCTGACAAAATATTTACAAAGGTGTACCTCAGGGCTCAATCTTGGGTCCTGTGCTTTTCAAAATTTTTCTTAACGACATTTTCAATTTTGTAAAAGAAAATGAATTGTACAACTATGTAGATGACAATACATTGTCACACTCAGGACCAGATTTGAACGGATTAGTTAAATCTTTGGAAAAGGAAAGTGCAGTTTTTATAGATTGGTTTGCTAATAACAAAATGAAAGCTAATCCGGATAAATTTCAGGCTATTGCCATTGGCAATAAATCTAAAAGTGGGGATATTAAATTCATTTTGGATGGGAATAAAATTTTATGTGACACTGAGGTAAAGCTCCTGGGAGTGACAATAGATGACCAACTTAAGTTTAAAACACATATTTCTGAAATTTGTAAAAAAGCATCACTGAGGCAGTTAAATGTACTAAAAAGAATTGGGAAACATCTATCTAAATTGGGAAGGTTAACTATTTATCACTCATACATTATGTCTAATTTCAACTATTGTCCTGTGGTTTGGCATTTTTGTGGGGAGGGTAACACTAAAAAAATGGAAAAAATACAAGAACGTGCCTTGGGGTTCATCTTTTGTTAAAATCTGGTATACCTTCTTTAAAAATAAGACGTCAACTAATGATGGCAATAGAAATTTTTAAAATATTACACAAAGAGTCACCGGTTTATCTCCATGATATTATAATCTTAAAAATGTACCTTACTCTTCAAAGTTTAGAAAGCAACATACTGTTGAAGTACCACAGGTGAGAACAACACAATTTGGACTTCATTCATTAAGGTATGCTGGAGCTACACTCTGGATTGAGCTGCCTGACGCGATCCGTGCGCAGTCAAACCTGAGCCAGTTTAAAAGTATCATGATATTGTATGGTGTTATTGTTATTAATGTTGGCAAAAAGAACTACAGAGCTTATGTTTGTAATGTTCATTAAACCCCGACTTAAAATAAAATTTTCTATTCTATTCTATTCTATTCTATGAGTATCCTAAACTGTTATATTTACATGTGATGAAAAGACCTTCACCAGTAATACAAGTTAATCTATTCCAACTGTTACGAATTTACTGTTTATGAATATTTTAATATTTCTACAGTTACGTTTTTTTCCGATTTCTCTATGAATTTTCCCATTTGATCTTTTTATCGTTGAAACATGTGAAAACAGCATCGAAAATCATCCCTTTATCCTTGATAGCTATAAGACGCTGTACCTGTACTATCAGCTCTGCAAGATAAAGACAGCAAAAATCTTATTTCACATTTTGATAACAGCTCTGATATTAATCAGCCGCTGGCTGTGAAACTTAATGAAATTTTATTACCAGCCTCTCAAAAATGTTTGAGGCGTTCTATTCCATCGAAAAAATCATCGAGAAAAAAATATACAAAAAAAAATTTTTGATATAGACCTTAGAAAAATGAGAAAAAATGTTGTATATATCCTATGCAGATTTATATTCTAAATATCCGAATGATCCTTATATTAATGGTAGATATTATAAATTGTTGAGACAATATAACAAAAGCAGAAAGTATAATTAAGACTTTTTAAATCAGTTAGATAATCTAGAGTGTAATAATCCGCAGGTCTACTGGGATCTAGTTAAAAAAAACTAAAGGAATCAGATAGATGTGATCCTTCAGAAAATATTTCTGCTGATATCTGAGGGTAGGAATGACCTTTACCGCCAGGCGTCAAACGGTCATTTTCGGCTACCGTTAGCGTCAAATTGGTTAAAATTTTACCGTGATTCGTCAAAATATCCTTATCGTGATTCGTCAGAGGTCTCAAATAATTATCGTTATTTTTGGAAAAAAATTAACGTGATTCGTCAAAATCAGTCGGTTTTTTTTATCGTCTAAAAGAAAGTGTACATTTTATCGTCATGCACCAAAAATTACCGTTAACGTCATTTGGCAAGAATTTTTACCGTTATTCGTCATAAAGGTACCCCCATGACGACCCTCATATCTGGTTAGATCATTTTAAATCACTTAATTCTTAAGATAATATATTCAAAAAGCGTAATGAATATATCGAAAAATTAGTTGAAAGTATTGCGAAACGCTCCATTTCATCTGAACTTGATTTTGCAATAACTAATACTGAAATACTTATATCACAGCTGAAAAACAATAAAGCTTGTGGTTTGGATTTTATAACAAATGAAATGCTAAAGGCAAGTGCCAATAGTTTATCTCCATGTTTTAATAAATTATTTAATTTATGTCTTAGCAGAGGAGAATATCCTGAATGCTGGGCTGAAGGATACACTTTACCCCTTTTTAAGTCAGGGGACCCAACTGGTATTTATAAACCCCCATCAGTACCTGACAACATCTTTTCAGATAACTTTACAAAAAATATAGACAAATGTATAATTAACTATGATAATATTTTATTACTTGGTGATCTAAATTTTGACATGTTAAATAGTAAAAAATGTCAATCTATGAATGACATATGTGATATCTTCAACTTGTCACAATTAATATCAAAACCAACTTGTTTTATGAAAGGGTCTAAACCCTCACTTGTTGGTGTTATACTCACAAACAAGGAAAATATGTGTTTTAACACCCACAATTTATCTACAGGTATTAGTGATTGTCATAATCTTATATCAGTTACAATCAAGGGCAAAGTTCATGCCCCAAAACAGCAAAAAATATCATACAGAAGTTATAGAAATTTTGATATAGATAAATTTAACACAGATCTAAACCAAATAAAAATGCCACTTACAGAAAATGTCACAAATTCTGAACAGTTAAACCAGGCATACAATGAATTTGAAGATACATTCACAAATATTCTAAACAAACATGCACCGATCAAAACAAGACAACCAAGAAAACAACCATTACTGTGCATGAATAGTGAACTTAGAAAAGCGGTATATCGCAAACACATGCTGTACACACAATTTACAAAGCATAAAGATTCAAAAACATGGGAAAATTATAGAAAACAGCGAAACCTTCTTACAAAACTTGAAAAAGTATCCATGAAAAATTATTTTTTAGAACGTTGTTCAGGTGGGGCAAAAACAGTAACTTTTGGACAACTATAAAGCCGTTTTTCTCAAAAAAATGTCACTCAGGGGAACAAAAAATTGTTTTATGTGAAAACAGCAAAATCATAAACAACACCAAAGATGTTTCAGAACACTTTAACACATTTTTTTCGACAGTTGCAGACAAGATTGGTAGTGACGTGATATACGACCCACCAACTCATGCCAGTATCCTGCAAATAAAAGATCAAAACTGCACAAATACAAAATTTGATTTTCAGAAAACAACAACAGAAAAAGTAGCAAACATTATTAACAAAATTAACATTAAAAAAGCTACTGGAGTAGATGGCATACCAGCAAAAGTAGTGAAACATTGTAAACCGATAATTGTGCCACAGTTAACAACACTTATAAATCTATCTGTAGAAACTGGAGTTTTTCCTGACAGACTCAAGCAGGCTCAAGTAACACCACTGCACAAGAAAAACAACCAACTTGACAAAGCCAATTATAGGCCTGTCAGCGTTCTACCAATTTTTTCTAAAATTTATGAAAAGGTTTTTGAAATTCAACTTGGTGATTTTTTTGAAATTATTTTTCATCCCTATCTGTGTGCTTTTAGACGTGGCCATGGGTGTCAGACCACACTGTTACGACTGCTAGAAGATTGGCGTGCAGCATTAGATAAAAACCAGTATATAGCTGCTGTTTTAATGGACCTTTCAAAGGCTTTTGATTGCCTACCACATGAAATTCTGCTTGATAAATAATCAGCATATGGTGTCTCTGTTCATTCTATTTCACTACTTAAATCTTATTTGAAAAACAGGAAACAACAAATTAAAATAAATAGTATTCTTAGCAGTTGGGCTGTCATTCATAAAGGGGTTCCCCAGGGTTCTATCCTGGGCCCCCTACTATTCAATGTTTTTATCAATGATATATTCTTATTTATAAAAAATGGAACTTTGTATAATTATGCAGATGATAATACTTTACCTTACTGTAGTCCTGATTATGATGTTTTGATTTCTACTTTGGAATCTGAATCACTCAAACTTATTGAGTGGTTCAAAATAAATAAAATGCAGGCAAACCCCGACAAATTTCAGGTCTTAGCAGTTGGGAAAAAGACATATAACAAAAATCCATCTATACGAATCCAAAGTGCTGATCTTTCGTGTGAGTCAACTGTCAAATTACTTGGCATTGACATAGATTATCAGCTAACTTTTGATATTCATATTGGTAAAATATGCAGGAAGGCATCTCAGCAACTAAATATTTTGAAACGTTTGGGAGCTTATCTGAACAAGCTAAGTAAGCTTACTATTTTCCATACATTTATTTTAATTTGTCAAA